CCTCCTCTCCTCCCTCTCCAAACTGCATCTTCCTTCCAACGTCCCTTCGTTGTCCGTTGATTATTTACCTATTTCCTCCCTTCCTCCGGTGGCAACCAACCAACTCACCAATACTCGAAGCAACAGTGGAATTAGGAATTTTGGGGATTCCAACGGGACGGTTCACTGGGACGCGACGTAGCCGGGTCAGCGAACAAGACAGATTCAAGACAACACACAACGCCTGCTGGATGGTTCGGTTTTAGTCAGACACGGACAGTCGACGCACCCCCGGTAGAAGACCAACTCGCCCTTTGGTCCTCTCTACCGTCACCTATTACACCTTCCGACTTCGCCCCTCGCATTGCGTCGCGACTCTCTACTACCTTCCCCTCCGAGGGCATCAGTAGCCATGCAGGACTTCAGCTCTTTCCTGAAAGGAAAGCCCACACTGCCATCTCTATGGACCGGTAACATCAACTTCGCCAAGCTCAACCCTATCCCCCACCGATATCGACCTAGTCGAGCAAAGAGGAACCAGAAGAAGCGCGCTTCCGGGAACTACACTGGCACCGAGGATGTGACCTCGCTGCAAAAGTCTCTCAACCCTCTCGACACATTACGGAAACTGCAGAATCACAAGTGGCGCCTCCTCGACCTGCAGTACACGATCCTCGCCGCCCTCATCATTTTCTCGCTCTGCATTACGCCCTCGGCGCCACTGATCAAGACTCTCGCCGTTACTGGAGGTCTACTGCTTTTGACGATACCCGTCACTAGCCAGTTCGTCTTCCCGGGATTGAGTGTATGGGCATACCTCATTTATTTCTTTTGTAGTCGGTAAGTTAGCTTGCTTGTGGTGTTGGTCGCCTGGCTTGGATGCTAATTTGACGACAGCTTCATTGATGCGAAGTACCGCCCCCATATCTGGGTTCGCGTCCTCCCCGCCCTCGAGAACGTCCTCTACGGGGCCAATCTCTCCAACATCTTGTCCGCTCACACCCATCCGGTTCTCGACATCCTCGCCTGGATCCCGTACGGACTCGGCCACTTTGGTGCTCCCTTCATCTGCGCCGGCTTCCTGTTTCTCTTCGCCGCCCCCAAGACGCTTCCGATTTTTGCCAAGTGCTTCGGATGGCTGAACGTGCTCGGCGTCACCATCCAGCTTGTCTTCCCCTGCACTCCTCCGTGGTACGAGAATGAGCATGGCCTCGCCCCGGCTGCGTACGGCATGTCCGGATCCCCCGCTGGTTTGGCCCGCATTGATGCCATCCTCGGCATCGACATGTACACGACCAGTTTTTCGACCGCCCCAGTTCCCTTCGGCGCTTTCCCGTCGCTGCATGCTGCGGACGCCGTCATGGAGGCCCTCATCTTGAGCTACTGCTTCCCCCGCTTCCGCCCTCTTTTCGTCATTTACGTCGGATGGATCTGGTGGGCCACCATGTACCTTAACCACCACTACGCGGTTGACCTGGTTGGTGGTTCCCTCCTCTCCGCCGGAATTTTCTACTTCGCCAAGGCCCGATACCTGCCTCAGCAGCAAGCCGATAAGAAGACTCGTTGGGAGTATGACTACGTTGAGATCGGCGAGCAGACCAAGGTCTTTGACGAGGAGTACGGACGGATGTACAACATGGGATACCTTCAGCGCCGCGGCAGCTCCGACAGCGATGAGTGGACAGTTGGCAGCAGCTCCAGCTACAGCACATCGAGCCAGGGTAGCGGAAGCTTAAGCCCCGCCCTTTCCGAAGAATCCGGTCGCAGCATTTTCAGTATCGAGATCAGACCCGATAACGACAGATACGAAATTCCCCAGCTCACAGAGGTGGCTGTGCAGTAAAAATCTTTTTGTCACACGCGCAGACCTATTCAGAAACATGATGAACAAGGGGAGCAGTGCCGCGAGCCGGAAGGGCGATAACGCCGGATCAGCCCCGCAGCGCGCACTAGAAACCCTCGGACGGTTCTTCGAAACCATGAAGCAAAACACCCCCCCCTAACCAGCACTTTTTTTTCTTCGATTCTCATCATCAGCACTTTTTTTTTCACTCAAAACGGATACCACTTTGGATTACCTGTACCATTTGCATCAGAAGCACAGCAACGGCGCAATAGTGGTTATTTTTACAAACGACAGAAACAGCCGGAGACGCAATGATCTCGACAGGCTTAGGAGTAACGGCCTCATGGATGAACAACAGCAAAAGAGAGACCCACGGAGTCGGTGAAGGGGCACCAATGGAAGAAATGGGGGACACGGGATGATGATAGAGTCCCCCCGTACATATTAATGTGTTCAATGTCGAGATCTATCTCTCGACCATTCTGGCGCCTAGCTGGGTTGAAAAGGGGATTGATCTCAGGCGCCCGACTAGCAGGAAGGTGGGCCCGATATAATGCGGAGGCATGAAGGGGAGACTATACCACGAGTAGAGGTAGAGCAGTCGCTACTGAAGTAGTTGATGAGATGAAGAGAAAGAAAGACGCGATTACCTCTCTGTACAATCGTTCCCCTATGTCCTGTCTGTGATGTTTCGCCCTTGCTGCCTGCTGCAGTTCAGATTGAGGTCACGTTCAAGGATGCCAAGCTGGGGTAATTGCCTGCATTCTGACGTCGAGTGGTCGCCGATCATCTCTCCCCGTGGCTCTCATTCTCGACCCTCTCCCCCAGCTGAGCTGACCGGCAGCCGGCTCGGCCGGCGAAGTAGGATGCGCGGCCGGGCTGGTTCTGGTTTGGGAGCTACGGCACACACGGCAGGATTTGTAGTCTTTGGTGGCGTTGGATGGCGCAGACGGCGGCTTAGATGGCCAAGGTGGAGGAAGAGGGGAATGTCATCGAGGCTTGAGGGGGAAACGGCAAAGCAAGAATGGAGCAAGTGACGCTAGAGCCAAGACCCGAGCGATCGGGTCCGGCAAATTCAGCCTGACTACGGATCCCAAAACCTAATCCCCGCCCCAATTGCGGGTTGCTTAGCTTCCCTGACTGCGAAAGTTCCATGTTGGATATGCTGCGCCGATTCCGAGGAGCCGGGGGCCCCCGACCGGGGGATCCACTTCGCCGAGCAAGGGTTCTTGGCATTGGTTTTTGGGTTTCCTTCCTCGTTTCCTCTTCGCAACTTGGACGTTTTTTTTTCGTTATTTCTCTAACGGATCGTTTGAAGGTTAGGGCGAGACATGTGGTCTTGGAGATTCCGCAAATCATTCATAACGACTGCCTTTCATGGGCAACGGAAGTTTTCACGGGCGGTAACCATGGTCCAGGGGTAGATGCCAGAAAGGGAGAATGGGAAATTGGAATGGCTGTCACGAAGGCAGCAAGCAACCGGGATGGCATTCGAAAACGCGCATCTCTTTTAAAGCTAAAGGTTCAACTAGGTGAGGGCATTTGGGAATCTCGAGCCTCGAAGTCTCGATAGCCAGGCCTTTGTTTACTTCTCGCCAACCAGGTTCATAGCTACTTAGCAAGCAGCGACCCATGTCGCTGTCACCGATACATCACCCACTCGACCTGGCGGAATACCTGTTGACTAGCGGAAGTTGGAAATGCCATCTTTTGTCGGACATCTCGCAGACAGTTTGGGGTGTATGTAGGAGATCTTGTCAGCGTCAAGTCACCGATGTGACTTTCTGGCGTGATAGAAGAACTCCCGATCAGCATCTCGCTGATGGCGGAAAGCATCGACATGACTTTCACTGTGCCATCTGCCCTGGGACTCTCGAGGATACTCTATGCTAATTATACAGACAATTTGATTGGGCTTCGCATTCGTAAGGGAAAGCGCAAACTCTTGACCGCCTCATCTTACTAAATCTTGCCCATGTAGTCCCAACATCTCTTGATAAACATGAGAGTTGGATCTTGATCAAGTAGAAAATAGGCGGTATTGATATACTTTCGACGCACCATGTTCAGCATGAGAATTTGAGACCATAATCACGAGCAGAGGGTTCATTACTCCCATTTTCCGTTTACGCCTGCGTCTACAATATGTCGCCTTTATCCAAATTTCTTACTTGATTCTCGGGAACACTGACAAGTGCCCATTAAAGTTCAGACTCGAAGTAAAGGAAACAGAGACGCCTTGGCGATTTACCCAAAGCTCGCGTGTCTTGTCTCGGAAGTATCCGACGAGGCTTGATAGCCCTAGTCCTCCGCAAAGTCTATCATTTTGTTTGAGTCTCTTGAGCCCTGTCAAGTCTAAAATTTCTGCATGAAACTCGGTTCGGTCTCAGTCAATATTTACTAGCAATACCTAGTAGAAGCGCAAAGCCAAGGGTATGGTCAGAAAACGAACAACGGTCTCCCATTACGATTTGACCATTACCTTGGTGTCTGCGCCCATAATGACAAACCCGCAGACGCATTATGGCTGAAGCAATCCCACCACATCCAGGAGCTCACAATAGCGTTCAGAAGCATGGGTTGCAGCAAAGGTGTTACTGAGTTGAAGGCGGGACATTTCTGGAGCTGTTGCTTAAGCGGGATAGTTGGAGTTGTGGCGTGATCTGATTTGGTCTCGGAGGTAAGGGCAAGAATGCGAAATCGGAAGCTGGAAGCCCACAGAAAGAAACAGACTGGGCCCGTGAGTCTTTAGGTCGTTTTTGTTGAACCATTGGTCATAAGAAATTTTCGAGCTGTCACATATGGAGGCCTGCGATAGAAACAACGGTGTGTATCGCACGATATCTTCCAGACCACCTGGCTGTCAGAGTCGTATCTAGAGCCCACATTTGTTGGCCGACGGGACCAAAACAGTCGAAAAAGTGATAACTTCCTTTGTTGAAAGCAAGAAGCAACGTTCCAACATCCTTTCTGTGGATACTGCAGGAGGACATCCTTGCATCCTTCGCGGGTCATCCACTAAGATTGCCTGAAGAAGTTGTCCACCTTGCTACAATGCCCGGATATAATATCCTTCAAGCCACTTGTGTGCGATATCCCACTGAACTCTTAGACTCTGTTTCCTCGTCTCCGTTTCTGCAAATTGCCTGTAGCCCGTACTGAACAAAGACTCAATATGGATCAAGATCTTGACCTGTCACTCGCCACCCGCCCAAGCAACCTCACGGCCGTGGATGGCCTCATCAAAGACATCAATGGTCTGCAAAGAAGCTAATCGAAGGAGATGAGGAAACGCGCCATGAACTGGTTATCAAGACCCGCAGTCTTCTTCAGTCCCTCCAAACACCACGTGAGCAAATGGTGCAGCACACGTGGGCGGACATGAGTATCAACCTGAAGCCGGTTCCTCATCAAACATCAAGTTTTAGATTTTCTGCCTATCGCTAGCCTGGACTGAATGCAGCCCTGATCACTGGAGTTGACACTGGGCTATGGAAGCTCATGGCCAAGAATGGTGTGGCTCAGCCCCAGAAAGTTGGCATTTTGGCCAAGACCCTCGGAGTCGATGCTGTGCTTCTTGGTAGGGCAAAATTTTGCATGCCGATTCGGAACATCTCTCGACTTACACTGTATACAGGACGTCTTTTGCGTCACGTCTGCGCAATGGGTCATCCCAAGGAGACGGCGCAAGATGAGTACTTACTAACCAACTTCACCAAGGCATTGGCCCTGGATGTCATCGGCGACGGTTACGTTGCGCTGTAACGATATCAAAATCTATGTCTTCTGCAATATACTCCATCTCAACTGACGTCTCGTACAAATTACAGAATCGGTGGCATTGGTCGAAGCCCGATCGAGTTCTCCAAGTTCCTCCGGAAGACCAACTGGCAGAATCCTACTGATGCTGCACACACAGCTATGCACGCGTCTTATCAGACAGATGCGCCAAACTGCTTCGAGTACCTCCGTTCCATAGGGTTAGGCCCTCAGACAAATCATCACAGTAGGTACATGAAAGAGCCAAGTAATGGGAATATGGTCACTAACAACCCTCAAAGTGGGTGGCTACAGACAAGGTCGAGTGCCCTGGATGCATCCTTCGTTGTACCCTGTCGAGCAGACCCTACTACAAGGTGCAAATACCTCGCCTGATTCACCACTTCTGGTGGACGTTGCAGGTGGCCTTGGCCATGACATTGACGAGTTCAAAAAGATGTATCCGAATCACCCAGGCGTAAGTTTTCCTTTCCTAAAGGACCACAGTCACTTATTGTTCAATGTGGGCTCTTGATGCATGACTAACAACCATCCAAAAAGCCATCCTCCAAGATCTTCCCGTGGTCATCAACGACGTCAGAGGCATTGACCCCAGCATCGAACTCATAGGCCACGACTTCTTGACCGAGCAGCCAATCAAGGGCGCAAAGGCCTACTTCATGCACTCGATCATGCACGACTGGCCAGATGATGTGTGCAAGAAGATTCTGGCTCCTCTAACAGAAGCAATGAAGCCTGGATACAGCAAGCTGTTGATCTTTGAGGTGGTCATTCCTCGCACGGGTGCCTATTGGGAAGCCACAGCCGGCGACATCCTGATGATGACCCAGCTTTCGGCATTAGAACGTACCGAAGACCACTGGCACCAACTGATTGAGAAGAGCGGGTTGAACTTGAGAATCGTCAAGTTCTGGGAGTGTGGCCAGTCGGATGTTGGAAATCTCATCGAGTGTGAGTTGGTACCAAGGGATTTGCAAACAAGCGGGGCATTGACCCCTTCATGAGAACATCAACTTCTAGTCAAACTCGAAACTCTGAATCCTCTGTTGGAGCCCCGACATCTTTCATTAATCTCTTTCATTAATCTCATCTTTACTGCGAAATAAGCTCGTAGAAACAACCAACATCTCGAGCACACCATCACTAATCACATGGCGTGAAGGAATATCATTTTAGTCTTGAAATGAATTATTGAAAACGCCGCACTGAAAAATCAAAAGCTATGAATTAAGATAAAGTTGAGGGCCGATACAATTCTTCGAGAGAAGAAGTTGCTTGAGAAGAAACAGCCTCGTACGAAAATGTCTGCTTCTCTGAGAATAGAAAACAATAAATCAGCTCCTGGTTTCCTTAGGCCTTGGTGTAGGTCTGCAGCCAGAAGCCCAAGAAAGCATAACCTCCAGCACAGCGGACGTTGGAGTTGTTGGGGATCATGTAGACGTAGCCGCCCTGGTTCGGGCAGTATCCAAAGCCATAAACCACAGGGTTTCCAGTAGGGGAGCCGCTCGACTGGCAGTTGCCGTAGTAAGCATCGTTGGAGCGACCGGTGTACGAGCAAGTAATGGGGTAGTTTCCGGTGCCCTGCACGTCGCTGTACACCTTGTCGTTGGCGGTGGCAGGGTCGGGCTGGTAGTAGTCCACGAGGACCTTGTCCGGGCTGTTAAGGTTGCGCATCTGACCGGCCTTGTCGACGTAGAACGGCGTGGCGACAGATGCATCGCGAACGAGGCGGAGCGCGCCTTGGTCATCGACTCTCACGTACAGGCTTCTGTCACCGGATCCCTGGAGGACGAATGCCGTGGGTGTGGCCGTGGGCGTGAAAGCGGCCTCAACGGTGGTCGTGACAGTGATGGTGGTGACCGGAGTAGCAAGTGTGGTAGTTGAGGCGGTGACGCCATCACAAGAGCAGGCAGACGAGTAGCGCGCCGTAGGAACGAGTGTTCCGATGGTGTTCTTGCAACCCGTTTCGGCGTAGGCTGGCATGCTGCTCGGGCGGTTCTGAGCTGGTGTGCAGGCCGGGGCAGCAGTGGTGGTGGTGGTCAAGGCCTGACGAGCTTCGACTTCCTCACGCTTCATCTTCTTGAGTCCCGGGTAGGCATTGGCCAAGGTGGTAGTGTACGAAGTGACGGTGGCTGTCTGGGTTGCAGTTGAGGTGCAAGGCGTCTCAGTGACCTGCATCCATGATGAACAGTCTGCCGACGCCGAAGCCGGGCCGGGCTTGGCACCGAGAAGCGCGCGGAAGCAGTTATCACGGTTGCAGGCGGCTTGACGTGCGAATAGTTCGTCAGCCGGGGTGGCGGCGGCACGTTGTGCGATGATGCCGCCGACGAGAGCAGTGATGATGGAGGACTTCATTGTGGCGGAGGACAAGAACCTGATGTGATCAAGTGCTCGTTCTGTTTGATGTATGGGATGAGCGCTGACTGTAAAGAGTCGTAAAAAAGACTTAAGCCGCTTCAGTTGAAATGTTTAGTGAGGGAGTGTGTGAGTAAGAAATATGTTTCTTCCGGCTTTGACCAGCGATTCTTATACATAATAGCTCAGGGTGCCTTCATGCTTCATAGCTCAAGTTTCTGAGTCCGTCTAGACCGCAAGTTCGTTCAGACTGGGCTAGAATCATCGCAGCTGAACTCCGTAGAGTTCAGCAAGCCTCATTGCTTCACTAGATTTCACTCTAGGCTCCGGATGTGAACGAAGCGGAGTATGTTCTCCACGAAATTCCATGCCCAGAATGCTCCATAATCCACCCTACTTGGACGTTACCGTGGGCTTGGATCCGAAAGCTGAAAGGCATAGTTCGGCAGGCAAACCCATCTCCCTGCATTCCCTTCCAAGAGATGCTTGTTTCTACTTCGGGATGTCCATCTCTAAGCGACTCCGGAGTGAGACAAATCCTTACGGCTAAACAACACCAACAAAAGTAAGCTCAAATTATACGATGTTAGGCCATGCATTTGCTGACCCCATTTTCGGAGTGCTTGCTGCATTGCGACGTTGTCAACCAGGATATAACAGTCCAGAACGGCCATTTCATACTATAGTTTAGCCGCTACTGCGGGCGAAGCCGTACGGGAGCCAACACCTAGACCCGAAAGGGGCGCCGCCACCAGCTCGAGTGTCAAAACCAGCTAGTTTACTCCGAAGTACTGTTCACTATGGTCTCCTGACGGTTTACATGGGATGTTCTGCTAGTTTGCAAACTAGTGTGGCAAGCCCCAAACGAGTTCGAGATGGGAAACGTCTTCCCCACTAGCTGAAAAAAACCCCTGCTTTAACCTCCGTTCACCATGCCAGGGCCCCTGGCATTCCTCAGAAAAAAGAATTCTCCGATGCTGCGGTGAACGTAGGCGACTTGCAATTCCTCGGACCCTGATCCACCCGAGAGCCTGGATTGTTTTCTGCACAGCTTTGCGTGAAAAAGAAGAAACATAAACTTGACTCACTAGGCTCATCTGAGATTGTTACTCCTGCGGCTGGGCTGGTATCTCCTCTTTTCGGCAGTGAACGATATGTCCCCTCATGCCTGAACGTGCCTTAAGTCGTTCGTAGCAGAAGAACGGCGATTCCGAGTGGAACCAACAAAAACACCAGGGGTCTCTTAGACGAGGAGGGGCTGAAAATAAGGCTAGTACCCCTGCTTGACTTGATCTCTCTTGGTTTAATGGTATTCTCACCTCAGCCATGAATACCTTACTTATTTCATTGGCTTTCTACGAATCCTCGTGCAAATGGCATGTGTATTTTCTACATGGTAGTTCACTGTGGCCTGCGTTCGGACTTGACTCATTTTCAGCTCAGGGTCCCCAAGCCTGGTCAAACTTGTGTACGGAGTACTCGTGGATTCCAAAGCCGTAGATCATGGCTGAATTCCATTCCATGGGCTATTATTCACGTGCCATGAGCCTTCAAATCACCTTGGATTGTATGATTCACGGTATGGTGAACGCCATCCTAAAGTCCGGTTCATCGGATGAGTTTCTGATCAATTGGATTGCATGTAGATTTCTACGGAGTACCGTGCTATTCGTAAAAGTTCTCAGCAGAACGCGTTCCCAACACAATTTTGGGGTCTTAGAGGCTCGGAGCTTGTTTGCCGCACATATTCAGCGGTGTCCGTTGGCTTTGTGGTCAGCGTGACAAGTCTTGTGCATTCAGTTGAAGTCATTCTACTTGTCTCACTATCCCAGGTCTATTGCCTCTAATGCTTGTACTCGCCTCGCTGAACTCTCTCGCTCAGCTCTTTCAACACCTTGGCGATGTATCTACAGTCTTCGATGTCAACGTAGACAGCCACACTCAATCTAGCCCACCAGGAGCCACGATAGAAAAGCAAGGACAGATACGTCAGGTATGTTTCAACGAATTGCCGGTTGATCCACTCAGTGACAGCTGGCACGTCACTCAAACTGACATGAGCGGCACTCGCATCGTCTCCGACCTTTACCGGCAGCCTAACATGCGCAAAGAAGACGCGTTCCTCCTCTGGAATTCCAAAGGTCTCGGTTCCCAGAGACTCCACCAAAATCCTCCCAGCTTCGCGGGCGAGATCCGTACAGTAGGTCCAGATAGCGTCTTCTCCCCCGCAAAACTTCTCACGAAAGTTCAAAGCCGTCTCGATGCAGCAGTAAGGCGCATTGTCGATGGTTCCGAAGTACTCGAATTGCTTCACCATCGGGTTCGTCTCTCCTGATGAGGGCATAGGATCAAACACCTGACGTGCTGCAGGTGGTCGAAACCCATGGGAGGTTGTTAGTGTTGTCCGAATCATGTGTTGGTTTCTTTTTGGGACGTAGAAAGCAGCGACGAAACGGGGGATAAAGAGCCACTTATGACAGTTGGTGACAAAGAAGTCTGGGTCAAGCTTGCCCAAATTGAGCGGTATGTGCCCAATTCCATGTGCCGCGTCTATCATGCTGAAAACGCCCTCTTCACGGCAGACTCGCACCATCTCCTCAAATGGTATCATAAGTCCGGGTAGGCTGATAATTGTGTCGAAGACAGCCAAGCGAACACGCCCCTTACCAACCTGCTTACACTTGAGCTTTTCGTTCTGCATGGCCTCTCTAAATAAGGCCACGATCTTCTCAGACACCAGTGGCAGATCAAGCTGCAATTTGACCCCGGACACGCCAATGACAGAAGGCTGGGCTTCTATCACGGCTTCGATGGTCTTTGCGAGAGCACCGTAGACGCCCGATGTGTACACAATTTTGTCGCCATCCTCCCATCGAATGTTCAACAACACAGTGTTTGTAGCTGTCGTCACGTTGGGGCAGAGGACCAGCTCATCCATTGGGCATCTCATAAAGTCTGCAAGGAGAGACCGACTGCGACGGAGGATGTCGGGGACCACGTAGCGTATGAACCGGTCTGGCTCCGCCTCGGCGGCATCTTAGTAATGACGAAGTACATTGCGGACTGGGCTAGAGTAGCCTCCAAAGGAACCTGAAGTGCCCGTAGTAAGATAATGTCCGATGGCCAAACTTGAAACCGAACCCCATTGTCATGAGTAGCAAGCGAAGAAAGTACCTTGATTTACGTTGGTATAATCTTTTGCGAAAAGAAAGTATTTCTCTCTCATGGGTTTCCCAAAAGGGGTGAGAGCCAACGCTAGGATTTGGTCAGACGCCATTGAGACTGAGATCTCTCTTGCAGATGAACGTGAGACCTTTATGAAAGTCGAGGTATCTAGAACTTGGGCTTCTTCGTAGCCGGATAGGGGAGTAACCATAATTCCATTCAGGAGCGTGACTCGGCGAGAACCCCGTACCTCGTGCACTCGCGCCCTTGGGACGCCGTGTGCGAACTAAAGAGCGGGGAAATTGGTCATCAAGCAAGACAGCAGGGACTGCAAAGTTAGCAGCTAAGCTCAGAACAGTCCAGTCACCACAGAGAAGGCCACTTTGTCATGTTGAGGCAAGAATTTGGATGTGAACACATGTTAGTCATTGGCTACTCTCTGGTCTTCAATCGCATATCATCTACGAAAGAACATTTAGTGGTCTGTGGCACCTCCATCTAACTCAACAACGCTTGGCACTCCATCTCAACCAAAGCCCCGAAAGGCAACGCAGATACCTGAACGCAGGTGCGAGCCTTTCTAGAGGTCAGTAACTGCGTAGATTCGCCGATAAACGAACTCACTGGTTGGGGCTCTTTGAATACCCCCAAATACGCCTCGTTCATCTCGGCGAATTTTCCCATGTCAGTCACATAGACATTGACTTTAATGACCTGTCCGAGACTGGAACCAGCGGCTAGAAGAATTGCCTCAAGCCCTTTAAGAATTTGTGTCTGGTTGCCAATAGATCATGGATTAGCCACCCGCATTTTGAGTTGCCAAGGTCATGCTGCATGTACTCCCGGTTTGTGCGGCAACTCCGTCGGCAAGTTTTCCTGCTACAGGGTCCATGCTCACATTCCCTGACACGTAGAGATTGTTATTTGCCTTGATAGCCTGTGAAAACACAGGTAGAGGCTTCATGGCCTTGTCGGTGAAGATAACAGCGTCACGACGAAAGGTGCCCTGAGAAGCCATGTTGCGATTTGTGGGCGATTTGGGTCGATAGGGGCTGGAAGTCAGTTTTGGAGGAACAATGATGATGGCGGCTTATAGACGGTCCCAGGGTCTAACTAGAATACGTAGTTTATGTACTCTGAGCCCCTGAGGAGACGAGGGGTAAAGGCCGAAAACACTGGGATGATAAATCACGCTTGTCTGGTAGGAGGTGCATGTCTCCAGGGAACCATTCTCCAATTTGTCATGTGAAGGGCGCGCCCTGGGTACTGACCAGTGCCCTAAGAGGCTAGAGCCGATGGGATGATAGTCGGCTCTCGTGTAACTGAAGGGTACCATGGTTGGTGCAATGGTGAGGTGCGTAGGCAGGATCGTACACAGGTAAAGTAAGGTAAGTTGCGCAGGGAACTAATGCTACCTGTCTCAGCCTGGCTGCCTGATCAATGGACCATTCCCAGATCTCCTAGAGAATTTAAAAGCTCGCCTCATCTGTGTTCTCGAGTGTTGAAATATTTGAAATCTTCTCATCAAAAGAATCAAAATCAATCTGAGCAGACGTGGAATCAAGCAATCATGCCTACCTACGAATTCCATCACATCCTTCCGCTTGGCCGTTCCAAGAAGGCCAATCTCGCAAGGCTCATCACTGACTGGCACGCTACAGCGTTCAAAGCCCCTCGCTTCATTGTCAACTGTCGATTCATCGACCTCCGCGCTGCCAATACAGAAGACTTTTGGGTTGGTGGTCATGAGTTGAAGACCAACAAACTCATGATCACTCTGAGAAGCGGAACAGGCCGGACCGAGGAGCAGTACAAGAGCATCACGACCAAGCTGATTTCAATTTGGAACGAATCGACGAAGGATATTCAGGCAAGCGAGCGAGAGAAGGAACTGAGAGACGTGTTTGTAATGGGCGTCATTGACTCCGCATGCGAGAGAGGCTTCTTTTTGCCAATGGTGAGTCGACCTCAGACTCGAGTCAGCGAAAGGTCGAAATGGAATCGGGACGCTAACAAGACTTTTCAGCCAGGAAAGTTTGAGCCATGGGTGGCTGAGAACGAGACAGAGTTTCAGAAGCTAGCAAATGGGGGTGATGTCGTGTTCAAGGACCTTATTCAGGAAATCCAAGAGAGGCCTGAATTTGGCGGCGGTCCTCAAACATCCTCGAAATGAAGCATACTACTTAGGTACTATTTTCAGAAGCTCAGGATCATCCATTTAAGAGCCCTTCAAGAATCTCTCGATAATTTCAATGCGCTATGCCACGCGAGAGTGTGCTAGATCGTGATGCACCTACTTTCTTGACGTCCGTCATTGATGTGAAACTGGTCATCAAGAATCGCACCCGAGTGGGGAAGGTATTCCAGGGAGAGACAGTGAAAGGGTTCAACACATTTCCGATGACGCGCAATGGGCGGCAAGTGTGCGGGTCTCATGAATGCGCAAAAAATCAAAACTCGAAGGGAGCAATTGATACCTTGTCTAGTGTGGGGGGCGTACCTTGGTAACATCCTCGAGAGGGTCTGCTTACCAACCAGACCAAGAGTCCTGCACTGATTTTTGGCGCAGAAACAGCTTTGAAGTTAGTCATCACCCAACCAGGCCGGAGCTTTTTCGCAACTGATAAGCACCATCCACCGAAGAAGATGATCAAGATCATGGTAGTTGATGCAGCTAGCAAGACCTCTCGTGCTTTAAATTAATTTTAAAGCATTGCAAGGGGCTTCGTGGCGGCTGAATATCACTCGACTTCCTCCAAAATCATCCAGCTCTAGACAGATTAACACAAGAATGAGGTAGTCGTAACATTGTGGCTGATCAATAGGCGTTGACCTATCGACAGCAAAAGTGCCTCAACGAGTGCAACTTGGCCGGAGCCTTTTCAGCTCGTGCACGTAGAAACCTTTCAATCCTGGACGAGTGGGAATTCTTAACTCGGGATCTGTAGACTGTGTCAGTCTATCTCTGCCACTTCTCATCATGAAGTGTGACTTTAGCTGAACCCCACTGACTGACCAACACAGTTAACCCGGCGTCCCCCAACTAAGGGCGCACACGAGAACAAAAGTTTATGATGACATTGCTTATCGGCCACTATGTAGGAAGTCCCATGATTAGACCAAAAGCAGAAGTTTGCTCTATAAAGAATAAAATTCCCTCCATCAATGATGTCACCGAAATCAAATTTGTTGAGTATTGCCGGACCCGTGTATTCTTTGGGCCTGGACTAACTACTTGACTTTGGCAGCAGTCTAGCAGACCATCACGGTAACTCCCAAGCACAAAACAAAGTCTGTTTTGTCTTCATCGATCAATGTACTCTCGTCGATACATTTATCATTTCGTAGATCCTAACGTCACTTGGAAAATAAGTAATGTCGAGAAAATCCTCGCTTAGACTGAGTTATGGTAGTCTCGCTCCGGACCATATTTGAATCATTCAACGTTTTCTACAATCGTACATACACATCAGATTACATCAAATGTATTGGAAACTTTCACAACATGGCCAACAGAGGAATTTCTTGGGATGCTACTGTCCAGATCATCCAAGATTTGAAAGATCAGGGCAGTATGAGGCTGCCCAAGATGCACTGTGATATGTATGCCTCGCGTTGCAGTACCCAAAGTACAGAGCGGTATTGGCAGAGAAATTAGTGAAGCTGGCTTGTAAGCATATGCTATCATTAAGGCGGTTCACATCAACATGGGAAACAGGCTGTAACATGTAGGCTGTTCGCCATTAGTCTGTCATGTTGAAACTAGTTAACCTTTTCTCCATGTTCGACGACATCAATCATACATCGCACAGAAACAAACAACAAAACAATCTTATGCCATCATGGTACCTTCGATTGCTTTCGTTGAATCTTCTGAAGTTGTCAGTAACCAAATTACGGACGCTTCCCGAAGCAAACAGGGCTATGGGTTGCAGCACCAAACTCCACCACGTCCGACGGCGGAGTTGTTCTCAGCGGAATTCCCAAACACCCAGACTTCCAATCCCACCGCCAGTGGCAAGTTGAGCACATAGCTGCTGCCTTTCGTCACTAGTGTCGGGAAGGCTACGTCGAGGGGGTGAGTGGTCACATCTCGGTTCGTGACTCAGAGTTTCCCAGCTCGTTTTGGACCAACCCCTTAGGCCGGCATTTCGGCCTCTCGAAGATTAGCGATATGATTCTTGTCGAATTAGATGTGTCTGTCCTTGTTAGGGAACGATCTGCTCCTCCGAACCCCGCCGGTTTTCTCCCGGCTCATAAAGCTATACCGGATGCATATGCGGCTTGCCACTGTCATAGTGTGCATGGAAAGGTATGGTAATTTTTTCTGCAGGCGACTTGACATATTAACGTAAGATGCTTACAAGTTTCGAGGAGATGCTCATCGTGTGTATGGTAGCTACAGAGGATTCATCTTAGGTAGTGAAGAAGGCTACCGCATTGCTAGCGCACTAGGCCCAAGTAGGAAGGGGTGCATTCTCAGGAACCTATCCTGATCGTCGGGCAGACTGTCGGTGAGGTTACATCCATATTCACATCCATGGAGCGAACATGCCAGGTTCAACTTCTGGCAGAGGATGCAGCATATGGTGATAGTGTTCCCCGGAAGGTTCTGATCAGTGACGACGAGGCAAACTTCAACTTCGACATTGAGAGCGATCCTGATATTTGTCACTGCGAGGTTTAGGTTTACTATGATCACGAGGAAGAGTTATAATGCGGAGGCTTCACAGCTTGATTGGATTGGCTTGAATTGGCATAAGATCATCATAGGTATTCCGAATTCGATATAGGTACTAGGAAAAACCAGGCATGAATAGCGACTGTACCCAATCCTCTTCACTTTGTTTGAACGACCCACACGCTGCCACAAAGTGGAGCCATCAAGCTCTTTCAGTATTTCTCGTTGTTGAATTACTGAGTAAATTTCTGAACAATGAAGTCGACGGCAGGATCAATGAACTCGGGACGGATATAAGTGAGGTGGAAGAATGTGCAGGTTCCACTAGCATCGCATACCTAGCAATTAGGGCAAGGGAGAGTCAGCTGGAGTCATCAGAGATTGGCCCTGAGTTGTCATCATTCTTACCGGATCACCAGCTGCGCAGACCTGTCTCACTTTCTCGTCCAGCCCGGCAGGGAATTTGCTCAGGCTGGCTCCAAGCTTCAAGTATCCGTCCCCAAACATCACCAAAGATTTGATGCGGCCATAGAGCTCAGCCGGGATGTCAGCTGCGGCGGCATGCATCACAGCGGCGCCCTGAGAATATCCGACCAGAGAGAAGTTCTGGTTGGGACAGGCAGCAGCCTGGGACTTGAGGCGGTTGACCACATCTCTGGAACCTTGACGGACGCCCGTGATGATCTGCGAACTGGCCGGATACTATGTGCGTTGTTGATTTAAAGAGTTTTGATCGGATACAAGAAATCCAGTACTTACTTGAACAGGGTATCCTCTGGCGCCAGGAAGAGCAACGGTCGTATTGCTGACGACCGGGTCGCCGACGATGATGCCAAACTTTCCGCCGCCGCCGACAAAGTTGGGCTCACTCGTTCCTCGAGCTAGACGACGCTTTGTTAGATTGATAGAAGAGGCTGATCGATTTCTTATAGAACACACCAACGAGAATCTCGAAATCAGAACAGCCAGCGGGAATATCTTCCGGCCGGATGGGAACAGGGTCACCGATAGTGACTCCAGTCTCTGGAAGCTCTGGGCAGTCATCAGTGCCCTGGCCGTGTACAACGGACAGAGACAGAGCAGAAAGAGCGACAAGCTTGATGAAAAACATCGTGATTTTTTCGTTATAAATCCGATTGCGATGGAATCTGTCAGATAATCTCTCAACTTTGAGTTGAAAGCTTCACGCTCCAACACGAACATGTCTCAACTATTTATCTACATTTTTATGGCACAAATTGTGATGTTCATTCGAGATACTCGAGGTCTTCTGCCTCGGGGCCTCGGTTGCTGCATCATTGACATAATGTCTGAGTTGATTGAGTCCATCCAGTTTTGAGCTTCATCGCAAGTTCTTCCGGAAGAGGGGATCATACAAGAGGGAGTTCTCCGTCACTTCATGCCAACGAAGTTGTAATTCTTGGCTTACTACCATGTGTGATGGTGTCTTCATAAAGGGTCTGAGAGGAGAGATCGCAAATCTGTACAGTTCAACCTAAAAAAACGCACATTTGGCCAGGCCCCCTGAATGATGGCTTCGTGTGCCTCGGCACTTTGACGACGAGGGGATCGCGATGTTGTCAATTCGACAGGGATCTGGCTTCTCCAGGGTCATCCTCCAATCGCATTCAATAAGATGGCCCATTCTGGCCAAGGGTGGATACCCACAATGTGACGCAGTCTGCATGCACCCCAGGCGGGGTTGTGGAACAGTGGGACTCACAGCAATAGAATCCTTCGCGGAAGTTACTCAAAGTGGTAAGAACACAGCCTCTCATCTATATCAGACAGCAAACTGCAACTGGGTGACTTAGACATACGAAATTCCCTTCAGTCTTTGCCCCTTTTCAGCCCCCACAGAGAATTCCCCGAAAACATCGCGGTGGGGGCAAAGAAGCAAGCTGGTTCCCCGCAGGACAAGTCGACGTTCAACGGCTTGGAACGGTGCTGCAGGTTGCTTCTCGAATGTTGCCGTTGTGGAACTTAATCCAGGTGGTTGATAGCGGTTCACTCATTGAATTGCTGAAGTCTTCATAAAGTCTCGGCGCAAATCAAGCTATTGTTCATGATATCTTATGCAACGGAAGCTCGGCGAGCGAAGGCTCAGTGTGAAACAGCTTGCGGGCAAAAAAAAAGAAACCAAGCGACACACTGACATGTTCATATAAATTATCCGTCTGAACTGATAGCGCGGCCCGAGCCTCTGCGCGCCCTGAGGGTCAAGATGCTCAATTGGACGAGGCCAAAGCGACAGGCACGGATGTGGCCTTCACGTGGCGTTTTCTTGTCTGCCTGCACCGCCGCAATGAGGTCCCGTTCCTCTGGCACATGTCTTACTCTGGCCTTATGTGGGCAGAATATTCATAGTAATCAGGTCACAGGTCTTGGAAAATAAGATTGGCGGGTAACAGTGATGTATTTTGGAAAGAAAAGATGCAGCACTCAAGCAGGACTAACAACCGCGTATCTTGGCCAAAGCCAGACAGGAAAGAAACAAAAGTACAGAAGCCTCCGGAAGCTTCATGTCGCAAGGAAAACGAGAAGAGGACCCAGCCATTTTTTCATGATATGTGCGGAACCACTCCCATCAGCCCACTCAGCAAATCTGATCGCGGGACACCGTTCTCAACGAGGAGACACTGCCCCCTGTGGGTCTCAGCATGGCAGATGGTGCAAGTCGACCTTAAGCCTGAACCTTCTTGATCTGTGCAATGAGGAAGTCGGCGCCCTCCTTGGCGTTGGCGCCGTATGACAGGTGAGGCGCCAGGACGGCGGCGCTCAAGTTTCCGTCGCAGACAGTGTCGCGCGGGTTGGCGGCGCAGATGATCTTGATCTTGTCCTTGGGGAAGTTGGGGATCTGACCATTGTCGGCGCGGAACTGGGTGTCTCCGAAGGTGACCACTCCGGCGATCTGGGTCTTTTGCGCATCGGGCGCGTTCTCGATGGCGCGGTGGTTGACGGCCGCACCTTGACTATTTTCAAATCGGTCAGCATTACGAGCCTAGCATGTAAGTGATAATTGAGGTTCTGAAACTTACGAGTAGCCTCCGGTGACGACGATGGCGGTAGGACACTTGCTCGCGATGTCGCTGAGGATGCTCTTCATCTCGTTGATGCCAACGGGGTCAGCACCACCGGGGAGGAAGTTGGTGTCCAGACCAGCGGGATAAGCAACACCCTGGACAGCAACCTTACCCGGGAAGGCGGCCTTCAGGTTGTTGGCAACAGGGGGTCCCACAACGGTGCCCTGTCCAGAGAAAAGAAAGTCTTAGCATCAAAGTCACCAACAATCGACAGTTGGGTCCAAGGAACTCGAGTAAACCCACCATGTTGCCGATCTCCGTGGAGCCGCGCGCCCAAACGAAGATAATATCGTTGCATCCGCCAGTCTTGAACTCGTTGGCCGTGCTGCCGACGGTGCCGCCCAGCTGTCGCTTAGTTTCTTCCTGCGGGATCGTAGGGTAGGCGAAGGCGGTGGAGGCCAGAACGAGAGTGCTGAGGAACTTCATGGTGAGGTAGCTGCGTTTCAAGTTGCTTGGACTTGTAAAGAGAGTGAATGTGAAGTGACTTGTCGCGGACAAGATGGCAAAGAACTGAAGAGAATGGAAGCGGTTGCGGTTAGCTGCTGAGATGCCTGAGTGGATGAGGAACTATCATGGCTTTGTGATGAGCTTTCTGAGAGTTCTTATAGAAGGTGATGATATCCACAACCTCATAGCATCTACGCCTAAAGAGGAATATTCAACGAGACTTCCTCCTCATTCCTTGTTGTTCCTCGGCTCTCAAGATTCCTCGGCTGATCGAAGGAAGACTCCTCGGCGGTTTTGTTGGTATTGCAGGATGACAAGGTGCGGAGTCCATTCTCCTGAGGCCTCGAACGAAGCAAGATGATCAAAGACTACCTAGGCATGTTACCATAAGTCGGGGAAGGTACCAATGTCTTGATTTCAAACACATTGGCACTGCGGCAAGTCCCGCGAGGATCCGCCATGTTTCTCCCGAAGATGCGGTCCGTCATGCAGAGTCAGGCCTGTCTTCGTTCTATCGTGTGCAATTCTGAACCTGCCAAAAACTAATCAGGCGCCATTTGCGAATACATGTATACAACGCGGTCGTTGGAATTACCTGTTTAGATCATTTAGTGCGGCTGGCGTGTTGGCTTCGGACGTAGGCAATGACAAGATGAACGTGGGAGGCCAATGACAGGACGAACCACGCATTGCTTACTCCTACTTAGGCCGTTTCAGCTAGTCTGGGATGGTTGCCTGCCACTCTATCGACTGCCAGCTGGCATGGTTACCTCCTGACTTGTTTTTCTCCGCACAAAACGTCTTTGAGTGTTGCCCCTCTGGAGTCTGGACTCAGAAGGATGTGGGTGACATGGGTTTGATCGGTGGTATTGCCCCCTCAGCTGCCTTACTCGAATGTGCCAACGAAATTTGCCACGGAATGGGTCCTGATGGGTACAAAACTCCCATTTGTGACACCGTGAAACAGAAAGCCTATCACGAATTTGAAATAATCGACTGCAAATTGGCGAAGCAGAACTCAAGCTTCAATGCGTCCGGAAGTTTAGACTTCAGGTTCTTTTCATGTTGCTTGAGATATTACTCAGTGCGTATGGAAATGATAACGTTGCAAGCCTGCTAAGCGAACGTCAGACGACGAGACTCGCATTGAGGCATGAGCATGTCAGGAAAGTTCCATAATGTTGTGTTTTTGATTCAATCAGATTTTGTTTTTTGAATTCGTAGGGGCCTCCGAGCTCTCAAGCAGAAGATTTAAATTCGAACCAAGGATTTCAGTTGATTAATTGTTATCCACGTTATAATTGCCATCGTCCGAACTACCCGTCCAATCGCATCCGCCTCTTCTCAATACTTGTGGGATGGCAGCTCCACTTGCCTGACATCCGACAAAACCGGTCGATCATTTCAAGGTACCATGATCTTCAATTTAAAGACCAAAAGCTTGTCAAGGTATAACGTATAGATGTCAACTAACACGTCTTACTTAGTTTGGAAAATAAAAGAGCTTTTTTTTCTAGTCAGGTTTCACACGTTCTCAAAGTTCCAGATTCAAGGAACTAAGATGGAGCCTCACAGCCTCTTCAACCCTTTCCAGCTAAGCATGTCAATGAAGTTCCAGGAGAAGCGGGACACTGAGGAGACAAAATCGGCATATACTAGAAGTTTCGTCTGCCCGGTATGACATATTCAGGTACCGTTTGGAATGGGGTTCATTTGCATCGACAGACCGAGGCTCGTTGAAAGTAATTTGCGGTCGACCAAATGGCTCACTCGAAAATGTCAATTGCAAAGGACCCATGAGGGCCAGTGACTTCAAGGTCTCGAACGATGTTCGCAAATTTCAAAACAGGGATCAGATTCAATTCTCTCGGTATCCTCTTACCTTAATGTCGTCCTCTCACGTTAGAGACACTGGCCCAGGACTCTCTCTACCTCGTGCGATTGGAATACCACCAAGTCAAGTTCCCCCCGAGAATGACTCGACTTATTGAACAGGCTGATGAGGCATTAAAATTGGAAATACAACGTGATCCAGACCCTTTGAGGGGTTTGCTAGCACTGGATGACAGAGTTACACTGAAATCAGACTCCAATACCTCGACACGAAAGTCAGACTCTTGTCGGCGATGGTCTAGACTCCCCACTGCAAGTTTCCAAGCCCTCCTTGAAATTTGGGTTGCCCGCCTTACTTCTCCTGCATATAACTCACTGAGCTGCGCGCCATCGTAGAGCAGTTTCCATTTGTTCTTTGCTGACAACAGTTTCTATCTAGAATTTGAATATCGAGAGGCAGTTACGGCTTTTACTCATGCACAAAAAAGGAGTCATGTGGGAGAACACTTGTTGGGACATGGCTTGCGCCACTTGGAGTGTGGTAAAAAGTGGAGATTTGTCTTCTACACAACTGTGAAGCGCTGGGCCTTGGCATGCAGATGTGAGCGAAAATAGTAGCCAGCAATGCTGCCGACTGGATTTCGATCGGGGCTAGTGGCAGATCACTCTATCGTTCAGGTGCAATCGCCTCACCCAGCTGCTCACCTTGAAGTGGCTGCTTTTGTGGAATTATCGGGTGGAAGGAGTCCTCGCACTCTTATTAGCCAGCGGCCGGCTGGCTAATCAGAGGCCAGGGATTCTTCCCTATATAGGTAGGAGGAATATTACTACCTTTTACTTTAATACTAAACGGCCTCCTTTTCTATAATAATAAGTATAATCAATATAAGTAGAAGATATTGGCTTAGTACCCTAGCTGAAAAGCCCTTCGATTCGAATCACCTAGTGATATTATTCCAACAGCTTTATTCTGTCAAAATGATGCCTGAGGGGAGCCTAAAGTGAGCTGGGCGACCAAGTGAATGAGTCAATATATTGATGTTATGGTAACCCAAGGTCTTGATGCACAAGAAACTCGTGTGAAAAACGGTTGTATTGTTGGAAGAAGAAAGAGGTCTACTGCGCGTTGACTGACTGAGGAGTATATTTGGGTCAACTCTCCGGCACCTCGGGGATCAAATTCCTCCGTAATCCCAGCGCTCCTCTATGCCTGGTCCAGCGATCCTTGTGGCTAGTCCCTCCGTTTTCCCAGTCTCTGAGTGACCCGTCCGTTCTGAACCCCTCTGATCGTCCCTAATATCCTTCGTTTGCTGCTTCGCCCTCTGTCTCCATAGCGGCCCCACTATCTCTGGGTGTCCTGGAACCCAGAATCGTGGCCGCCCTTGTCTCAGCTTCTGTGCCGGGCTTGGGTGGGTGTCCCCGTTCCGACTCCCGGTCGGGCGAGGGTTGGAGTTTCGTTTCTCGGGGGCCGACGTCTGGCTAGGCACTGGTAGCTCCAACGCCCCAGGAAAGACACAAGAACGAGGTTGTTGCGTTGATCTTCGAAAGCAGTTGTCGAGCCGGATGCGGACGAAAGCTGTTAAGTTGCATACATTAGCAGCGAGACAGATGTGGATGGGGGCGAGCTGCTGGACTGCTTAGCTTGTTGAACACGTGGCCAAGACTGATTGTATCTTGGCCACCAAGCCTCCTGCCCACTGATTGAGTTTAACCACATGTTGTTGTTGTTGTTGTTGTATTTAACGCCGTGGCGGCCGGGCTAGAGCCCTTACCGCAGACCTCCCGAAGGGTATATGGCGTGGAGGGCCGTGAGCCAAGGCTACCTACTCTACAGTACGTCGTCTCTTTACATCGTCCTCCAAATCATGCCTTGTGGCCACTACGCGTTCTGTCTGTCCCCGGTTCCCGCTGGTGCCCCAGTTTCATTCTTTCCCAAATCGTCCCTTGGAATCGGGAGGTTCTTTGTAGTCCGCACTCACATCTACGTAGGTGTGGATGCTGCTACCGCAGACAGATCTTCTGGAAGAAGTCCGTCACGCGGAGAAAGGCCTCGAAGCCTCGTGGGTCGGTGATTAATCTCTTGAAGTAGGCCTCGAGAGATCCCATAGGGCCTATGGGCTCGGGCATACTGCGAGAGTGGAGGGTCGGCCACCGTTGCCTCCTCGCCAGCGTTAGTCGACAGTAGACCAGGTGGTCCACGTCTTTCGCCTCTCCACAAGAGCACATCATTAGAGCGTCGTCGTGGTTGAAACGTCGGTGATATTGCTCGAAGTCCCCGTGACCCGATCGTGCCGCCAGCAGGTGATGTAACGTAGCCCGCGGCAAGGCCAGTTCAGGAGGGCTGGACAGAGCTGCCTCAAGCCCCAAGTCCGCGTACCGCGGCCTTCGCTCTTTATACCACCATCTCCTGTGCTGGCTTTGTAATTTTTCCCTTGCAAGCCGCTTGATGCCCGCTAGTGTTGCCATTTGACCCATCCGCGCCGGCAGTGTCGTTCCTTCTTTGGCCAGCCGGTCCGCGGCCTCGTTTCCTTCGATGCCCTGGTGTCCCGGGGACCAGTGCGTCCGTATATCAAATATCCTGGCCGCTTCTTGGATTTCGAGGAACGCGTCTTGTGACGAGTCCGGCGCCTTGCCGCGGATGCCTTGTATAACGCTGGTGTTGTCGATACATATGTGGATTGGATGACCGCGATTGGTGAGCAGAGCCCTTCTGAGGCCGGCTCGCGCTCCTTCGACCTCGGCGTCGAACACTTCTGCCAGTCCGAGTCGGCCGCACCCTTGCGCTATGCGTTTGGAGTCTCGGTAGATGACGAAGCCGTACCCCACGGCTCCGTTCGTCGCCCTGGAGCCGTCCGAGAAGACGATCATATGGCTTTCCGGTACTGTCTTTAGCCAGCGCTCGAAATCTTTCGCAGCCTCTTCTTTGCATTGAACTACTATCTGATCCTGTGAGCTTGGCAGGTACTGTGATTGGAGGAACGCTGGTCTTCCGCATCTTGGCAGAAGTTCAGCCGTCCGTTGTAGTCTCGTCTGTTGCTGTCCCTGCTGGGAGAGCCGCGCGACTAGCGGGTGTCGGCGATCGATCCTCTGCAGTCGGACTGCGGCCCGTAAGCGGACGCCCTCTAGAGCGACTTTGGCTGACGGTAAGCCGGCGTCTCGGAGGAGGCTGCTGGTTGGCGTTGTCCTCCAGACAGGCAGAACGGCCCTTGCCGCCGCTGTAATGACGCTGTCGATCTTCTGCACGAGCCCCTTCTGGCCTGTGTTGACGGGTCTTCCTTGGAGAGGCGGATTCGTGTCTGTCTCCGCTTGGCGTCTCGAAGCCG